AGTTACAAGCACTAAAAACACTGGGATAATGTGAAATGTACTGAATGTATGTGTAGATGCAACCACACTGGCTGGCTTGTAAACACTGGCGCTGAGGCCACACGTGGGACGCGTCCTGGATGAATCACATAAGGCAAGTTTTTTATCGTGAGGCGAGGCAAAATTTTTGCATTCAAATGCTTCGTATGTCTGATTTAACGTAACGTGATGCATTCATACATATAAAAGCCTGGTAACATGTTTACACTATCATATATTAAGTGAATAATGCAGTTAGGCCTAAAAAATGCATATACAGTACACACATTACTTACATTAAAATATTTTTTTGTCCTTAGCTTATAGTAAGTGGTGAATACAGTAGGGCTAATATGCTCACCGTGAGCCACTAGGTTTGTTTACATTCTCTGGGAGCTCCGCATCTCTCCATTATGTCAAGAAAGTTTCAAAAATTTCGAGTGTTTTAAAGTTACTTCATATTTTATATAAGAATACTCTGATAATTATACTTATGTGTACATGTCCCTAAATAAACTTACACACTGTGCTGGTGTGCAGTTACGTGTTAAAATCAATAAGAGTGTCTTATTATTCTTGAAGCCATATTAATAATGATTACGTACAATAATAATGCACAATAATAATCCCTCTGAGGGGTATTAAATGTCATATATTACATTAATATAAACATTTTCATTAATCCATCTATGGCTGTGAAACAGAAACCTGTAACTGTTTTGCATGATGGTAGGATTGCTGGTGTCTTTTTTCTGTCTCAAACATGCTGGATAACGGGTATATCTTGCTACTTCTACTTACACTTAGGTCACACTACACAGGCATGCACATGCATATATATATACACATACATAGGGTTTTGCTTCTTTTTCTTAATAGCTCTTGTTCTTATTTTTTTTTTCTCTCTATTGTTCATGGGGAAGTGGAAAAGAATCTTTCCTCCATAAGCCATACATGTTGTATGAGGCGACTAAAATGCCGGGAGCAATGGGCTAGTAACCCCTTCTCCTGTACACCTTTACTAAAAATGAGAAGAAAAACTTTATAAAACTGGGATGCTAGAATGTGCATGGATGTAGTGTGGATGATAAGAAAGAGATGACTGCTGATGTTATGAATGAAAAGAAGCTGGATGTCATGGCCCTAAGCAAAACAAAGCTGAAGAGGGTAGGCAGTTTCAGTGGGGAGAAATAAAAGGGATTAAGTCAGGAGTATCTGAGAGAGTTAGAGCTAAGGAAAGGGTAGCAATAATATTGAAGGACCAGTTATGGAAGGAGAAGAGAGAATATAAATGTGTAAATTCAAGGATTATGTGTATTAAAGTAAGGGTTGGATGTGAAAAGTGGGTCATAATAAGCATGTATGCACCTGGAGAAGAGAGGAGTGTAGAGGAGAGAGAGAGATTCTGGAAGATGTTAAGGGAATGTATAGGAACCTTTGAACCAAGTGAGAGAGTAATTGTGGTAAGGGACCTAAATGCCAAAGTAGGAGAAACATGTATAGGAACCTTTGAACCAAATGAGGGAGTAATTGTGGTAATGGATCCAAATGCAAAAGTAGGAGAAACATTTAGAGAGGGTGTGGTAGGCAAGCTTAGGGTACCAGGTGTAAATGATAATGGGAGCCCTTTGATTGAACTTTATATAGAAAGGGGTTTAGTTATAAGTAATACGTATTTTAAGAAAAAGAGGATAAGTACACAAGATAAGATGTAGGGCGTAATGACAGTAGTTTGCTGGACTATGTATTGGTAGATAAAATACTGTTAAGTAGACTTCAGGATGTACATATTCATAGAGGGGCCACAGATATATCAGATCACTTTCTAGTTGTAGCTACAGTGAGAGTAAAAGGTAGATGGAATACAAGGAAAATAGAAGCAGCAAGTAAGAGAGAGGTGAAGGTGTACAAACTAAAAGAGGAGGCAGTTAGGGTAAGATATAAACAACTATTGGAGGATAGATGGGCTAGTGAGAGTATAGGCAATGGGGTCGAAGATGTATGGGGTAGGTTAAAGAATGTAGTGTTAGAGTGTTCAGCAGAAGTTTCTGGTTACAAGAAAGTGGGTGCGGGAGGGAAGAAGAGCGATTGTGGAATGATGATGTAAAGAGAGTAGTAAGGTAGAAAAAGATAGCATATGAGAGGTTTTTACAAAGTAGAAGTGATGCAAGGAGGGAAGTGTGTATGGAGAGAAAAAGAGGTTAAGAGAGTGGTGAAGCAATGTAAAAAGAGAGCAAATGAAGAGAGTGGGTGAGATGTTATCAACAAATTTTGTTGAAAATAAGAAAAAGTTTTGGAGCGAGATTAATAAGTTGAGGAAGCCTAGGGAGCAAATGGATTTGATAGTTAAAAATAGGAGAGGAGAGTTATTAAATGGAGAGTTAGAGGTAACAGGAAGATGGAGGGAATATTTTGAGGAATTGTTAAATATTGATGAAGATAGGGAAGCTGTGATTTCATGAATAGGGCAAGAAGGAATAACATCTTGTAGGAGTGAGGAAGAGCAGTTGTGAGTGTGGGGGGAAGTTCGTGAGGCAGTAGGTAAAATGAAAGGGGGGTAAGGCAGCGGGATTGATGGGATAAAGATAGAAATGTTAAAAGCAGGTGGGGATATAGTTTTGGAGTGGTTGGTGCTATTATTTAATAAATATATGGAAGAGGGTAAGATACCTAGGGATTGGCAGAAGAGCATGCATAGTTCCTTTGTATCAAAGAGAGCGCAAAAATTATAGGGTAATAACTCTGTTGAGTATACCTGGTAAAGTGTATGGTAGAGTTAATATTGAAGGAATTAAGAGTAAGCCAGAGTAGGATAGCAGATGAACAAGGAGGCTTTAGGAAAGATAGAGGGTGTGTGGACCAAGTGTTTACAGTGAAACATATAGGTGAACAGTATTTAGATAAGGGGTAAAGAGGTTTTTGTGGCATTTATGGATTTGGAAAAGGCATATGACAGGGTGGATAAGGGGGCAATGTGGCAAATGTTGCAGCTGTATGGTATAGGAGGTACGTTACTGAAAGCAGTGAAGAGTTTTTACGAGGATAGTGAGGCTCAGGTTAGAGTATGTAGGAGAGAGGGAATTTATTTCCCAGTAAAAGTAGGCCTTAGACAAGGATGTGTGATGTCACCGTGGTTTTTCAATATATTTAGAGATGGGGTTGTAAGAGAAGTGAATGCTAGGGTCTTGGCAAGAGATGTGGAGTTAAAAGATAAGGAGTCAAACACAAAGTGAGAGTTGTCACAGTTGCTCTTTGCTGATGACACTGTGCTTTTGGGAGATTCTGAAGAGAAGTTGCTGAGGTTGGTGGATGAATTTGGTAGGGTATGTAAAAGAAGAAAATTAAAAGTGAATATAAGAAAGAGTAAGGTTATGAGGATAACAAAAAAATTAGTGATGAAAGATTGGATATCAGATTGGAGGGAGAGAGTATGGAGGAGGTGAATGTATTCAGATATTTAGGAGTGGAAGTGTCAACAGATGGGTCTATGAAGGATGAGGCAAATCACAGAATTCATGAGGGGAAAAGGGTAAGTGGCACACTTGAGTCTGTGGAGACAAAGAACTTTGTCCATGGAAGCAAAGAGGGGAATGTATGAGAGTATAGTTGTACTAACACTCTTGTATGGGTGTAAAGCATGGGTGATGAATGTTGCAACGAGGAGAAGGCTGGAGTCAGTGGAGATGTCATGTCATGTGTGGTGTGAATATAATGCAGAGAATTGGAAATTAAGAGAAAGGGGTGGGATTACCAAAACTATTATCCAGAGGCCTGAGGGGTTGTTGAAGGGGGTTCGGACCTGTAGGAAAAAAAGGGAAAAAAA